AGTACATCAAGCCTGCCCAAAGATTATTATTATTATACAGGATTTATATAGCACCAGCAGTTTGCTCAGCGCTTTACAATATAAAGGGAGACAATACAGCAACAATACAAGAGGGTTAGGAGGGCCTGATCTTGGGAGCTTACAATCTAAGAGATGGATTGACTCTTGGTTGGTCCCTACTGAACTCGATTTGCCTCCCACTCTCACGGTTGGCGAAATTTGCTTTGGTTTAACATACATTTCTCCAGACCAGGATAATCGCTCATATACATCGACTTTTCTCAGAATGGTTCCAACACTCCAAACCAATAGCCTCAGTGAATTCCACAGCAACTTCCCCAGAATGGCTCCAATACTCCTGACCTACAATCTCTGGAAATGACTCTCCATATCATGTGAAAGAAAAAAACTTGGGGATATACTGTGTGTTATATAGGTCCCTACTGAACTGGCTGAGATTCGATCCATCTATGGCTGGCTTTACAGGGAATATTTCCTTCCTTTGTAAAGATCTCCACCTCCTGCATCCCTGGGACAGAAGAGGAAATTAAATTCTCCCAGCAGGGACACAAACAGCAAAAAAAAGAAGAAAAAGAAAAAAACACTTGACTGGCTCTATCCAACACTATAAGGGCTAGTGTAGATTAGTGCTGCTCTCTGAAAGGTGATCTGTGTTCGGATTGCTCTTGTGAGGGCATTTGACAGGCAGTGAGCAGGAGCTGTATTGCCCCCTCACTGCCTGTTTTAATGCCAGAGCTTAAAAAAGGAAAAAAGAGACAGAACAACCTATGTATCCAGATAATGGAATGGACATCCCTCCCAAAACAGTATCCATGTCCCAGAGGTTCGCCTGGAGTCTCCTTCTCCTTGCTGCACATTATATATTATGGAGAGTGCAGAGGGAAGAGATGTCGTTTTTTGAGAAAAGTTAGACTCCAAGGCAACAGGACACGATGAGGATATCCTGCCTCAGCAATCACCACAGGAATTTAAAAAAACCTGCCACCATTTACCAGAAAATGAACAGACGCACACATGTGGGTGTAATTTCCCTGTGTGGAGTTTTCACATTCATGGACTTCCCCCCCTATGTGTGCCTGTGAATGCAGGTACCGGAGTGTACAGGAGTATGCCGTGTACACCTATTCTATCAATACAATCCTATGGGCTGAGGCTCCTGAGCACTTAAATACAGGCGTCATCGTTTTTGCTGTACGCCCCTATGCCTGTGTATGAGCCTATATAGATGTATGTCGTGTTTATGAAACGTTTGTTTAAAGGAGAAAAAAAAAAATGACATAAATACACACACACACACATATACATAAAGGGACATTAAAGTCAAACCGGGAAAAATTTAAAGGAGTGAAAACTGCATTTACTTTTCGACACACTCCCCTGCTACATTTATACACTTATCCCAGCATTTAACTAATGCCTGGAAAGCTCTGGAATAGGAAGATTTGTCAGCACGCCTGAACCATCCTAGGACAGCCGGCTTCACTTCATCATCGTGTTCATCGTTCCCACCGAAAGACTTGTCTCTTGTGAAATTTCACAACAGGTTATGTGTCGATTATCCAGGATCAGGCGTTCCACATACTGAATGTTCACAGGAATGATTGCTGGGAACCACCACGGCCGGGATCATCACTGATGGACGTACAGCCATCATTAAAACGTTTTCACCATTCAAATGTCTCACTGCAGCTGAGCGTCTCATCACCGTACTGTGCTTGAAGTCCTCTGTAGATATCCGCAGGTTTTACTCCTTCATTCACAAGAAACTTCATCCTCACACACTGTTCCATACATGCACTAACACTGTTGTCTGCCATCTTGATTAACCGCTTCCATACCGGCCCCTTCCCTCGCAGGCCATTTTTCCGGTTTCAGCGCTCTCACACTTTGAATGACAATTGCGCGGTCATACAACACTGTACCCAAACTAAAATTTTATTTTCTTCACACAACTAGAGCTTTCTTTTGGTGGTATTTAATCACCGCTGGGGTTTTTATTTTTTGCAAAATTAACAAAAAAAGCCCGAAAATTTTGAAAACAAAATACGTTTTTCTTTGTTTCTGTTATAAAAGTTTACAAATAAATAATTGTTCTTCATAAATTTAGGCCAAGATGTATTCTGCTACATGTCTTTGGTGAAAATAACCCAAATTAGGATGTATTATTTTTTTTTGTAGGAAAGTTATAGAGTTCACAAACTATGGTATAGATCTGAATATTGATCAATCCTGAAGTACTGACAGCCAATCTAATTTCTTGAGGTCCAAGAATGTCAGAACAGTACAGATATCCCCAAATGACCACTTTTCTGCAAAGTAGACAGTCCGTTGTATTTCATAAGAGGCATGGCGAGTTTTTTTAAGTTGTAATTTTTTGTCATAATTTTTCGGAAATGAAGAAAAAAAAAAATGATTTTCACTATTTTTTTTTTTTACATACTGTCACCAGTGCAGTACAGCGTCATCATATAACTGGTATGGCGGTAATCAGGGTCACTGACTGGTGACAGTAGGAAAAAAAAAATCGATCATTTTTTTTTTTTATTTATTACATTTTTCTCTCTCTTTTTTTAAGATTTTCTTTTCATATTTCACAATGACCATAGTACAATGTTACCATAGTAACATTGTACTACTTTGGGGAAGTGATCAGTTTTTTTTTTTTTTTACACAATTTGCTTGTAGCAAAGAATTACTTTGCTATATGCAAACATTTACCTGAAGGAAATAGATTCATTCAGGATTTTTTTTTTCTCTTAACTGCGATTTGGCCACAGCTAATCACATGACAGAGCTGGGCTGTGATTGGCCCAGCTTGTGCATATGATCGCTGTGACCAGTCACAGCTAGCTACACTTGTATACAATGGATGGCATGAAAGAAAGCCATCCATTGTATACAACTGTCATGTGACCTGCTGTGATTGGTCACAGCAGGTCACATGGTACCGGCAACGGGGCCAGTACACAGATCTGTCATTGGCCGTGACAGGCTGCGCGGCTCTGCGAACAGGCAATCTGCGCATGCCTGAAAGGACACCATATGGCGTCCACCCAGAGGGACGAGGTGGGAACCTGTTAACCGTCTCTGGACTAGTCCGCCACCCATCAGTAATAGGAAACACCTGCCACTTAATCCTGAGTTCACACTGATGCGGTGCGGAATTCGCACCAGTTTCTGTGCGATTTCTGCACCGCATCATAATCGCACCCCGTTCACATGAACCACTGCGGGTGTGTATTTTAAGATAACGACACCCCGAAATCAGTTTACAAAACGCAGTGCAATGTTCAGAACCAGATCACGTGTGTGAACACCCATGCGATCCGATTCTTGTGTAGACAAACACTGCACTTTTTTCATGCAGATGCGGTGCGATTTGAGCCATACAAAATGTATGCGTCAAATTGTACCGCACAGAATGTGACTTGCACAGGAATGCGGTGAAATTCCTGTGCGAATCACATGCGATGTGCCGCATTACATCAGTGTGAACCCGGGATAACACTGCGTGTAGTACCGCCACGTGACCATCCCTTTTTATACCTGAAATATTAAAAGTCCCAGTTTGACTTGAACGCCCCTCGTATAAAAGAAAAAAAACCCTAATGATCCCACCATCCTACCACTGTTCAGGCACCTCCTGGCATTAGGAGGACGGGGACAACTGTCTTCTGATGGCACTCCCGAGCAGGGCTGTCTTAACGCATGGGCACTGCCCTGGGGGCCCCATGATAATCTAACATCATACTTGCCAGCTATCCTGGATTTGCCGGGACAGTCACGCTTTTTGCTAAGCTGGCCCGGGCAGCACCTAAGAACCTGTACTGTGCCCTCCTGACCCCAGTATTTTGCCCTCCTGACCCCAGTATTTTGCCCTCCTGTACTGATCCCCTCTGCCTCCCACTGTACTATGCCCTTTGTGTTGATTAATCTTTGATTTATTGAATGCTTTTTTGTTTAAAATCAATTCGATTGAAAGTACTAATAAAATGTTTAATTCTATCAACTATTTATACTTTAAATCTTGAGAGTAGATGCATAAATTGGGGCAAGCTGGTTGGGGCCCCAGTGCATTGCTTTGCCCAGGGGTCCATGATGCTATTAAGACGGCCCTGCTCCGGAGTTGTCACCCTGGTGAGGATTACAGGCAGCTGCACCAGCACTGCCCAGGCACGCTCCCCTGTTTTTACTATCAGGAAGCCGGTCCAAAACGACGTGCAGACGATACAGAAGTGAGTGCGTGTAAACAAGAAGAGCTGGAAGAATCTAGAGGAGATCCGAGGCATGGAGATACGACAACGATGAAAAACAAACAGCGACTGTATATGATACAAAGTACAGATGTCATGGTCAGGGGTCACATCTACTGTACACATATGTAACACAGAACCACAAGCCTGCCGGGGAGAGGGATCACCAATGTACTTTGTATCGGTGTCAGAGTTCTGCCATCACCCAAGGGGGGGGGGGGGGTCTGGGCTGACTGACATAAATCCTGTCACCGACAATCCTCTGCATACAGGAAGACCGTCAAGCTTACCATACACTATACCAGGGGTCTCCAAAATTTGCCCCTTTGCTTGCATTTATCTGGCCCTCAGGGCACCATTTCATTCACTGACACCAATGATGGGGCACAATTCCTCCCAATGACACAATGAAGGGGCACAATTCCTACCAATGAAGGGGCACAATTCCTACCAATGACACCAAAGATGGCGTACAATTACTCCAAACGACACCAATGAAGGGGGATGGTTTACTCCCACTGATGCCCATTGGCCACAGTCTTCCCCCCTAAAGTCCAAAGGACAGTACACTGGCCCTTTGTTTACAAAGTTTGGAGACCCCTGCAATATACAATCTCCCATAGATCTACCAATACTCTGTAATATCAGGACGGACCATAACAACCCATTCAGTCTACATCAAACCTGACACTACACAGTTGGTGGCAGAACTAAAGGAGGTGGTACAATCTGATTGTACAGCACAACAGTACAATCCGTCTGTATATGCAGTAAAGCATGCTTGTTATAATCCTCTGCATTGTGTAAAAATGTTGTTTGATCCTGTCTTCTCTGATCCTCCCCTTCTTCCAGAGCCACCCTCTTATCTCCTGATAAGACATATCGTGTGGAGTCGCTCTGCACATGCTCAGTTTGGTGTGTATTGCTAGAGAGGTTTTTGGGTTTTTTTTTATCTTGAGAGTGCATGTGATCAGCACAGGGCCAATCAGCACTTTCCAGACAGAGAGTCAGGGGCTCTGAATTCTCCTAGAGCAGAATGAAAACTCCTCCTACAAGTTTTAACTCTGCTGAACACTGATAGAAGTCACAAGACTGCTCTAACTGCTGATGAGAAAAGGTATTTTGAAGTTTAGATTAACTAAAATAAGTGCATTTCCATGTTCTGTGTACTGTGGGAGACCAGGCGCAGGCCGCGCAGGGTCCGGGGAGACCAGGCGCAGGCCGCGCAGGGTCCGGGGGAGAGACCAGGCGCAGGCGCGCAGGGTCCGGGGAGACCAGGCGCAGGCCGCGCAGGGTCCGGGGAGACCAGGCGCAGGCCGCGCAGGGTCCGGGGAGACCAGGCGCAGGCCGCGCAGGGTCCGGGGAGACCAGGCGCAGGCCGCGCAGGGTCCGGGGAGACCAGGCGCAGGCCGCGCAGGGTCCGGGGAGACCAGGCGCAGGCCGCGCAGGGGAGACCAGGCGCAGGCCGCGCAGGGTCCGGGGAGACCAGGCGCAGGCCGCGCAGGGTCCGGGGAGACCAGGCGCAGGCCGCGCAGGGTCCGGGGAGACCAGGCGCAGGCCGCGCAGGGCCCGGGGAGACCAGGCGCAGGCCGCGCAGGGGCCCGGGGAGACCAGGGCGCAGGCGCAGGGCCCGGGGAGACCAGGCGCAGGCCGCGCAGGGTCCGGGGAGACCAGGCGCAGGCCGCGCAGGGCCCGGGGAGACCAGGCGCAGGCCGCGCAGGGCCCGACCAGGCGGGGCCGCGCAGGGCCCGGGGAGACCAGGCGCAGGCCACGCAGGGTCCGGGGAGACCAGGCGCAGGCCACGCAGGGTCCGGGGAGACCAGGCGCAGGCCACGCAGGGTCCGGGGAGACCAGGCGCAGGCCACGCAGGGTCCGGGGAGACCAGGCGCAGGCCACGCAGGGTCCGGGGAGACCAGGCGCAGGCCACGCAGGGTCCGGGGAGACCAGGCGCAGGCCACGCAGGGTCCGGGGGAGACCAGGCGCAGGCCACGCAGGGTCCGGGGAGACCCAGGCGCAGGGCATGCAGGGTCCGGGGTTTAGTAACACTTTAAGCTCACCACACACAATACAATTGGATTGTACAATTTCATTCACATCAACAACTATGTGGCTGATTGGATAGATCAGATAGGTCCTGACCCCGATAGGTCCTGACCCTGGGCTCACATCCCGGGTACAGCGGCTCATTCATTCGAGTGGACTGCATCACCTATGAGAAACGTGCTGTCCTTCTGCATCATATGTTATCATGCAGCACAAAAATGCATGTGGATGCCGATGTGTGGGGGTGCTATTAGGAAATAATGACATCCCCGAGCGTGTCTGTGCAGGTTGGGAACACGGCTGGTTCTGCACGTGTTCTGGACAGGCACATATGTGGACCTAGCCTTAACCCGGCCATAGATAATAATCCGAATCTCAGCCAGTTCAGCAGAGACGGTCTGAGATTTGATCCATCTATGAGCAAGCTGGGTGTACTACAGCTAATCCATCGATCGATTTGGGTACAAGCAGTCTCTCGGATATTGTCCATACAATTACTGCCAATGGCTATAGCCGCCAGCAGTGATCATTGTGTTTTACTGGCTGGGAAGGCTCCCCTGCTGGCAGAAGATCATAGTGCATCGGGAAGGATTCCCCCCCCCCCACATCAACACTGACTGTGCTGATAGGGGAATCCAGCAAGTGTCCTTCCTTCCACCCATGGTTGCAGGAACAAAAACTGAATTGTCTATGTCAGCCTTGGATTACACAGTGCGGATGAATCAAAAATCGGTTACAGAAAGACGGTTTACGCTGGCCTTATACTTGGAAGAAATCCCTTGTGTGACCATTTGTTGGCGCTGTGATGGACTCATTTTCAGCGACTTTTCCTTCAGCTTCTCCGTTTTCGCAGGACAGACGCTCTACTTCTGGAAGGGGATGTAAAGCTGCCCATACACCAGTCCATCGTCTGTGTTCAATCAGAGGGCTGGAGGAAAATGACCGACCTGATCCCCCATCCCCGGTAGACGAGGAATCCCCCCGCTGAGCCTTTGGATCCCGATAGAAGGAAGACTTCCCCGCCAGCAGAAGACAATGATCAGGATTGCTGGCTATAGCCTTCAGTGCTGATCAACCCGGCAGTTGTACAGAAATCAGTCGGTAGATCCTCTTCCATACAACCACCATGCCCATACATGGATGGACATCCTTCCAGCCCCCGAAGAACCGGACAAAATTCCATCCAGGAATGGCCAGCTTTAGCCAAACAAAATGACAATTTCCTGACAAAGTTCTCCAGACAATCAGCATCTGTCCGGCCACACACCATACAATCTGACTGTACAATCTTCCTTCTAACAGGAGGACACGTCTGAACAATCCATACACTTGTGTCAGATCGGGCAGATCCTTCTACACAGCGGATGTAGCGGGAATTGTACGATCACATTGTATGGTGAGATACACACAGGGCTCTGCTCAGATCGCATCCTCCGGTAACATCCCGGATCGGTGAGGTCGGTCAGGCTGTCATGTATAGGAGGAGGTGGCGATCACACACGGGGGGGGGGGGGGGGGTCGGTCCTCAGCAACAAGTGTCAGCTCTGCAGACCAGGACCGCTCCATAGGGGGAGGGGAGCACAGAGCGCCCTCATCGCCCCATGGCAGTCCTGGACCGGAGGAGTAGCCGGGTTGTGTCCCCGGACGGAGCGGGGTGGTCGGTGTACCTGCTCGTTCAGGTCCATGGTGTCCGGGCCTCGCAGTGCGGCGCTCCCCCCTCCTCCTCTCCGGGTCTCCTGTCTCTAGTCGGTGAGGGGAGCGGCCCCGTCCATCCTCCCCGGTGTGCCGTTCTTTGCCCGGCTGTGTTGTTCTCCCCTCTGCTCGGCCTCTCTGCTCACCCCACCCCGACCGGACCGCCCACTACACGTCATAGTAGGATGAGGGCTCTGCGGGCCTGGGCGGAGCCAAGAGAGGTGACAGCGAGTCAGCTGAGACGGAGGCCGGGTCTGGACACTCCGCTGTGTGAGTGGAGACGAGCTCCGCCCTGTGTGCCCGACACAGCCAATCAGTGACAGCGCTCCGCTACAGACAGGCTGCCTGTGTTCAGTCACCGTACTGTATACAAAACCTCAGGAAACCTCACTGTGTCATGTGCTCCTCCCCCTCCTAACTCCTCCCACCATATCATAGTCCTCATCCCCCCTCATATCATAGTCCTCACCTCCCCCTTTATATCATGGGCCTCACCTCCCCCCTCTCATATCACAGTCCTACCCCCCCCCCCCCCCCCCCCCCCCCCATATCATAGTGCTCACCCTCCCCTCATATCATAGTCCTCAACCCCCTTCCCCTCTTATCATAGTCCTCACCCCCCTCCCTCATATCATAGTCCTCACCCCCCCATATCATAGTCTTCATCCCTCCCCTATCATAGTCCTCACCCCCCTCATATCATAGTCCTCACCCCCCTCCCTCATATCATAGTCCTCACCTTCCTCCCCATATCATAGTCCTCACCTCCCCCCCCCCCCCCCCCAATATCATAGTCCTCCCCCCCCCCCCATATCATAGTCTTCATCCCTCCCCCATCATATCATAGTCCTCATCCCCCCTCCCTCATATCATAGTCCTCACCCCCCCCCCCCCCATATCATAGTCCTCACCTCCCCCCCCCCAATATCATAGTCCTCACCCCCTCCCCATATCATAGTCTTCATCCCTCCCCCATCATATCATAGTCCTCACCTCCCCCCCCCCCCCAATATCATAGTCCTCACCCCCTCCCCATATCATAGTCTTCATCCCTCCCCCATCATATCATAGTCCTCACCCCCTCCCTCATATTATAGTCCTCAACCCAAGCTCTAATCAAGTACTTGGTGGAGACTGGAACGTTGTAGGGTTCTCTTGTCCTCTTGTACCTCCTGCTCAATACTCTCTGGGGACAGAGAGTGTGAAGACGTGGAGTGGCACAGATGCCGAGGTAGCTGGTTGACAGTATCCACACTACGACGAGTGGGTTGTACTGGAAATCACAGTCCTCTGGACACAGGAACATCTTGGAATCAGGGCAAAGGGTAGTAGAGGGAACCAGAGGCCAGGCCAAAGTCAGTAACAGCCAAGCAGCATGCGACATAGGTGTCCGTTTATGGACCAGCAGTAATAGATCGCTGCTCAGTTCTCCGGCATTCTCGGAAAACACAGTTCTCCTGTGAATGCCTTTTATGAAGCAGTTCTCCAAACGAAGGGAGAACGGTCTCCACACGCTGGAAAACGGCTGATTTTACTATAATCTTGCGAGATTACAGTAAGAGATCAGTTTACTAAGCAGAGGTAAATTATCTCTGCTTAGTTTGCGGTCCCTCCGATTCTCCAGCTCTGGGCTGGAGAATCTGGAGGGAAAACACAGATCTCCAGTGAAGGGCTGACATGATCTCCGCTGATCTCCTGAGTGTCATAAACTCTAAATGACCAGAGAATAGCTGCGATCCTCTGAATCGCAGCTATTCTCTGTGTCATAAACGGACACCTGAATCAGCAGACAGAGCAAGTCCAGGAAGCAGGCTGAGGTCAGTAACAGCCGGGCAAAGCAGTACAGAATCAGCAGGCAGAGACAAGTCCAGCTGGGTCATACACCAGTATAGGCAAAAGCAACAGATCAGGTCTCAGGAAACATGGGAACAAGCTGAAGACCATTCAACAACCTCTCTCAGTGACCACTTCCCCTCTCACATCTGGTTTCCCTCTATGGACCAGAGCAATTTGTACATTTCTACTATAAACTTGGTTAATTAGCAATAACTTTGTCATTACTTAATGCTCTTTTTCCTCAGTTTTGCTCTTTTTTTTAAATGGGAAATGTGTAAATATATGTGAAATACTGTATGTAACCATATTAACAAAAAAAAACACAAAAAGATTAAATATTAAAATAAAAACAAACAAAAAAAGCAGAATAAAATAATAGCTGAAGGGAGAAGCAG